CGTGCGATAAATAATTAAATTGGGGAGGGCGCAGAGATTGGTTACGGTATGGACGCTGTGTGCCGGGATATGCCTTGTCTCGGCGAATATTTTTGAAATTATTAAGGCAATTACGGCACTACGATGGCGCGATACTCTTTACTTGTAGATCCTTTCGTTGTCTTCTATTTGGTTGATATGTTGTGAGCAGAATTGCAGAGAAATGATCTCTTTTAAAGAAGATTTTGCTAAGTTCTTTTACTATTATGCTGTTGCCTTCAATCGTGTACGTCCTCGTTCGTTCCTTTTCTAATTTCTTATAATTTCGCCTAATTTGTTTGTGTATAAATGGTTTAAAGATTTGTTTAAGTTTTGGAGGACTTTGCTTCCAGTTTCATTGTTTTCTACTGGTTTGTTGATAACTATTAGTTTGGTAGCTAGAGGATGTTATCGGTCTGTCATGTCTGTCGTTTGAGCGGCTGCAATTTGTGTCATTGTTTCGCGGATATATTGTATATGTAAGAAATCGTTCCTAGTAGTGAAAATTTCAAATTTCAGGATTCATGTTGTGTAAGACGTGTGTACAATACGTATCTTGGGCTAATGGGAAGTTGGGAAATGGTTCAGGCGGTCAGCTTTGTAGGAACTGTTCATGAAATGGTGAGTGCTGTCTGTTTGTTTCTGACTTCTAAATTTCCGACTATTAAACTAATTTGAATGGGTTGTGTTATATGAAGGCTCATCATATCGTAACTCGTAGGGGAAAATTATATTCAATGTAGATCTTTACTCGTTTATAATAATACTTAACTAACGTGTTAATGTTTCTTTTTAATAAGATTCTGTGGAAAACGTGTAAGATGCCTGAATTCACCATAGTTAGCGTAGTGATGCGAAAGTTGGTCTAAAAGGAAGGTAATTTCCTGTCGGCTTCCCAGATTTGAGTATGACAGAAAATTTGCTAGATTGGCGGGGTTTCTATAAATTGCTTGTGCCTTAAATGTCCGAATAAGTGTTAACGTGAAAAATAGCAAGCGTTTACGAGTACTAGGTGTTCAATGAGGTCTACGCAGAGTTGTCTAATGCGATTGTCGACAATCAGTTCCAAAGGAGGTTAAAAGGTGTTAAGGTATCTTTGAAACCATGATATTATTTATTCAAAATACTCACGTTTTCAGGAGTTGCAATCATGGGGAGAGGGAGCCAATCGGAGTTCGATGTCGGAGCAGAGTTGGCGGATCCGCAGAATAAATCAGAACAGAGAGAATACCATAGGTCGGCCATCCGAGATTTTACATATGCGCAATATTTGGTCATATTTATTTAAGTATACTTTTTTTTTTCTCGTCGAATATCGTAGTGATAAACAATTTTATTGATTTTTTTTTTTCTTATTTTCGTACCTTTTCGTTTAGTAGCAACTCCATAATATTAATGCGTTGAAACTTTCATTCACAAAGTAGTGGCTCCATTTCGCTAATCGATGCAAGCTTGCTAGGATTCATTCTTCAATCTATTGCTCCGTATTTTTCTTGTGGTTTGGCCGAAATTGTACATTTTACCCGGGAGTTCTCCATCTCGTGTGTTCCATTTTACTGTCGTGGAACTTGAGGAATCTGACAATCTGGCAGAGCGCCTACAGCGCTGTGGCGGATTGTCACTATGCGCGCTAAACTTCTTATTTTTGTTGTTCCGTAATGTTGATTTCATGACTAGTCAAAATGAAATTGTCGACGTGTAAAAGTTGTTACTTGAGGAGGGCCCTTTATTTTTGTATGTATGACCATTATGAAAGCAAATTTATACCTAAATGAAACACGAAAATGATTTTTTTTGGATTTTCCTTATTTTTCCGTTTTTTTTTGTTTTTTATTTTTATTGAAGTGAGATCTTTGAGAAATGAGGAGATCAGTTCATCGTACTTTGTTTTAGGAAGGGAAAAGGTGTCCGTCGACTGAGATCATGGCACAAAGTACGATAGTGGGATGAGTTCGGATGTATTGGTGAGTTTGTTGGCTCACTAATTCTACTCCCAATCGGTGTTTGAGGTTATAAGTTTTGGATTAGTTTATTTGTAAGGTCGAAAAGTCGTAAAAATTTTGGGTAGTTGTTTTGTCATTAGTCAGATTAGTCGGGTGCGTTGATGTTGCGTGGCTGCGTTTTAAACTTATGATGTTTGCATTTGTTGATGGGTGTTTCCAGTAATTAAATCAGATAGGGTAAGGTTCGTATCAATTTCGTACTTGTTCGCAGTGTATAGTTTTATCTTTGTAGTGCCTCGATTTTGACTCAATTACTCGATTTCGACTATAGTTGCCAGCTTGTCATTAGCTCGTATCCTTTGAATATTGAAATTGTGTTTCGTTGTTTTCCTTGTTATTGTGCTTGTTATCCGGGGCCTGTCTCGCCATGTATTTGATGTATGGTTTCGTTTTGTGTGTTATTGTCTGATTTTGTATTTGATATTGTGTGTTAAAGTTGTAATTTTGGCCGATGCACCATGTTTTGATTCAGTGGTAGTTTACAAGGTGTTTAATAAATCATTTATTAATTGCAACGCAACTATGATCAAACACACAATGGAGAAGAGACAGGAGAGGATAGAAGTTGTTATCGTTGTACATTGCTACATCTCGTATTGTTGTCCTTAGGCTATGTGTCCGAGTGTAAGTCATCTTGTCGTCTTAACGAGTGGCGAGTCCGACTGGCATAGAATCGTCGTGTCGTAGTTGTAAAGGTTAGGGTAGATGGTGTGCGACCGTAATCGCTTGACGAGAGGGGCAGAGCCCCAGAAGGAAGAGAGAAGAGTTGAAAGAGGCTAAACTAAAGGTGACACCGAAGTGGAAGACTGCCTCTGCCGCCCGGAGCGCGCTCTTTATACCTCCCAGAAGGGGGCGGTATATATACCTGTGCTAGTAGGCGGTCCTCGTAATAACTTCGTATAGCATACACACCAAAGCAGAATTTGGAATTGGCGTTGTAGGGTCTGTACGCTGGTAATTTCAAATGGTATAGTGCCGATGGGGTCGGCAATTGTTGTATCTTGCTAAAAGGGACTTAGTCTTAGGCGTATGTTTAGGGGACGTTTGTATCCATGAGGGGAAGTTATTACGGGATCCCACTGCCATCAGCTGCCAGATCGCTCCCAAGGTAGCGGAAGTCCTCCACTCGTTCGATGGTCTCACCATGGCCGTCTGCGATCGGCTCTGCACCCTCTTCGGAGCTCAGGAACTTGGTCTTCTTGACATTCAGTCGTAGCCCGCCTTACAGTAATCCAGACATTATCTTATTAGCGAAGTGAAGTCACTGCAGCGCCGCTGGACTCTGTCTGCTTGACCGTCTGACGTAGTCTACTGGTGTTCTCAACGCGCCACGAGCCTCCTGTCATGTACCAATCATTTCATTTAAGGACCATCAAATCCACCTGAGATTCCGAATGCAAATCGTTAATATGGTACACAGTTGACAATATTGCTCAACGCCTACTGCTTTTCGTATACGTCAGAGTTTTTCCTGTCACCGCCAAGCATAGTGCTAGTGCTCGAGCGGTTGTTTGCATTGTACCTTGCTGGGTGGCAACGAATCAAAGTGCGCAACGCAGCCCTGCTCTCAATCAAACCTCCAATGTTCCTTGATACTCGCGCATCGTTTTCCTCAAAAAAAATACGGCGGCGTCGCGTTTTTCGCGTAAATATTTGAAGTTTTACGGCGAATACCGTATGTCTTAGAAAAAAGTGCATCGCCGTTAAAGCACTCCATTTAAACTCAACGCTCATCCGTTTTTCAAGCGTAATCGAAGATGCAATTATAGTAATCTCATGTACTCACATAAACTGTGCACTCATGAGCGCCAACGATCTTTCTTGTTAATGCCTAGACGGGTTGGGGGATGTGGAACTCTGCCAAGCCTGGAGAGTTTGGTTGTCGCAGAAACTCACAATTCATTTTGATTCCCATTTGTCAGCAAAATTAGCGCACTGAGTGGAGAGTAATCAGTAAACTTTGACTAGAGATGCAAAGTCTGACTTCTTATTGAAATCGAATTTCCTAGTTGTTATTTTTATTTATTATAATTTTCCTAGTTATTTATTTGAAGAGCACAGAGGATCGTTCTTCAAGTTTGGCATCTGTCCGAGGGAGTGGGAGGCGAACCACTCTCTTTGTTCATCCCCCTCTCCCTCCTAGAAACTTTTTAAATTCATTGTATTTACTCAATTCTAACTATTTTTCTTTCCCCTATTTTTTTGAAACGCTGCAGGGCAATGTTGAGAGAAAATTACTAAACGATACAACGCATAAACCATGTATGCCACCTATCCTACTTACTATAAAGCGCTTCGTCTGTCTGTCTGTATGTCTGTCACGAAATTCCCTAGCTCCTCGGGATCCGCCTGGAGGGACCGGGTCAAGTGTGGGATGGGTGGGCAAGGTCTCACGAAGTACAAAACACACATCAGCTAAGCGGAGCCCCGCCCACAGTGGGCGTGGCGTGCATCGAAATGAAGGTACTGAGACCAGATTTCAAATTCAGTCACAAAACAGCCTCGAAACTGGGCCAAAAAGTGGGTAAAGGTGTGCATTGGTAAGTCAGATCGAATTAGGGAGACCCACCCCCGGTGGGCGGGGCGTTCTCCAAAAAAGCAGTGCTTTATGAAAAATTTCATAACTCGGTTGGGAGAAAGCCTACAGAGCAGAAAACAAATTGGTGTAGGGAGCAATGTCTAAGGTGTTCCCATACATGACGTGGGCGGAGGCCCGCCACATGGGCGGAGCGCGCTCTGAAGTGTACAGCATTTTCTACAAGTCCTCATAATTCGGGCCGGAGAAGTCTTAGTGAGCCGGAAAAAGGTGGATAGAGGTGGGTGGAGGAGTGGAGGCAACAGTCATCAATGGGCGGGCATGACCAAAGT